AATGGACGCTACCAAGTGATCTGAACACGAGGACCCCTTGGTTCATAAATTGAAAAATTATTAAAGGAGATATGTCAAAATGATCTCTAATCTCCTAAAATACATGCGTTTAAATGAGAAATGCTGCTAGATGACGTCACTAGGCGGCGCATTTTCTCACTTTTAAACAGGGCTGGGAACCCGAATGGATTTTGGAACCGGTTCCGGTTCCGGTTCTCATGGTCCAATGATTCGGGTTCCGGTTCCGGGGGTCCGAAGATTCGGGTCCCGGTTCCGGAACCGGTTCCACTCGGGTTCCATGGTATTAGTATTCGCGAAAATAATTTAATTTTTAAGTTAAACCGTCACTTCGTTAAAGAGAGCCGATCTTATGTCGCCTTGCTTCAACTTTTTTGCTGAACTTCCTGCTGCAGCATCTGCGTCTTCTCGATTCCGTTTTTTGTTTTTGAGGTTATCTTCTTCTTCGGTCTTTTGTTTGTTTAACCACTCTTCGTATTCCTCCTTGTGCTGCGTTCGGACATGCTTTTTTAAGTTTGTTACATGATTCCCTCCTATTTTTTCTTTGCAACGTCTACAAACTGATTTATTTTCTTCCTTGATGTAGTCAAAAAAAATTCTAATACTTCCCATTTTACTTTTTAAAAGTCCACTTCACTTAAAATGAGTTCGCTCAATTAAATTGATTTTTCACCGATAAAAAATTTGTTACAATTTCCTTGGATACGGGGCCGTCTCAAACCCGGCGTTGCTGCAACATCAGCTGTCACGGAACCGATACGGAACCCGTGTAGGAACCCTGTTCTCGGATTGTGCCCCGGCGGTTCCGGTTCCGGTTCCGGTTCTGAAGGTCCGAAGTTTCGGGTTCGGGTTCCGGTTCCGCATAAACATGCGGGTTCTGAGGGTTCCGGGTTCCGATCGGGTTCCCAGCCCTGCTTTTAAATCTATTTTTATACTATTTCCCATAGCCAAAAAAAAATAATAAATGCTGATTATAGATGCACTTTTAGATGCAGCAATCAAAATTCGCGTGGAAATTCTCCATTGTGAGGTTAGGAGTGTATCTCAGACGTTCCCGATGCGCTCATCGTGATTTTTGAAACAATTTCTATACGAAGCAACTCTTGTGTATCTCAGACGTTCCCGATGCGCACATGATGATTTTTTAAACAATTTCTATTCGAAGCAACTCTTGTGTATCTCAGACGTTCCCGATGCGCTCATCGTGATTTTTGAAACAATTTCTGTACGAAGCAACTCTTGTGTATCTCAGACTTTCCCGATGCGCTCATCGTGATTTTTGAAACAATTTCTATACGAAGCAACTCTTGTGTATCTCAGACGTTCCCGATGCGCTCATCATGATTTTTGAAACAATTTCTACACGAATCAACTCTTGTGTATCTCAGACTTTCCCGATGCGCTCATCGTGATTTTTGAAACAATTTCTATCCGAAGCAACTCTTTGTGCCCTGGCTGAAGTTGGCCTGTGAAATTTTGTTTTGAGCCTCTGGTTCCGACGCGTCTGAATGCAGTGCCGTTTGGCAACAATCGCCCGATCGGCTTGTATATCATCCTCAGTATTGTATAACTAGAGACCCGGTGCGTGTAATACACGTATTAATGCGTGTTTGTTTTTTTTGTTGCAGGTGAGACGACCGGGCCCTCGTATTCATTGTTCGCATGCCGATTTGACGTACGACGTTTCGGATCCTCGACGAGCGTATCGCCGCCGCCACCGCACACTGGACCGAGTCAGTGGGAGTATTCGGACAAAATATTGCAACTTTGAAAGATTATATTATCGATTATTGGAAGCGAGAAAGCTTGAAAGTGGCGCCACTAGGTTTTTCATGAAATTTTCTTTCTGAATCACCCATTGTAGGGTTGCCACAGTCAGAAAAAACCGGGAAAATGACGAAAATGTCAGGGAAAATTTGTTAAATCACCTTCATTTGCTTTCTAGAATGGGTTTGAGGTTTCGAACAACACATTTTGCCTGAAAAAAAAAACATTTCAGGGAAAATGACAGTAATGACGGAAATTTCAGGGAAATTTTGTTAGATCACGTTCATTTGTTTTCTAGAAGGGGTTTGAGGTTTCGAACAACAAATTTTGCCTGAAAACTATTTTTAAATGTGCTTTCTTAACCGTCCGGCACATTTTCAATTGTCAGGGTATTTCGCCAAAATGTGTCAAGGAAATTTATTTTTTATATTCGGTAGCAACCCTGCCCTAGAAATTGAATTTGATACGAAATAAACACCAATATTTGAAATTTAACCCACAAATGCAATGTCCGACCTAGACTCCAATTCTAAATTCTGTCGCAATCCTGCCCTAGAAATTGAATTTGATACGAAACAAACATCAAAGTTTAAAATTTTAGCCAAAAATGTTATGTTCGGCCTCTTCGATTAGCTCTCTCCACTGTGCGCCGCCGCGTAGCGAGCCCGGGTTTGTTTCTGTTCCTCTCTCTGTTTCGCTTTGCATATCCTTACGAGCCCTGATTTGTTGTCGAGGCTCCCGAGGTGTCGACAGCCAGTTACGTGGCGTCCCGTTCGAACCCCGGCCCGGCCCGACGCTCGCGTGGGACCGTGGGACGCTCAGGAAAGTCTGCCGCTCGGACGACGTCCGACCTCTGAATATTACCTATGCATATTTTCAGATCCGAATGCCGATGCATCTAGTTACGATGTGTGTAACTGTCCACGGGAAAAATAAGTTGAGTCTTGTTTCGTTTTTGCCGTCATGAAAGAGTGTACTTTTTAATGTTGTCTATTTACCTGTCGCAAATCGCGATTTTACGAGGTGGAGCTTCGCATTCCGAAGTGAATATTTCCCACACTCTAAGAAAAGAAAAAATTCTTGGATCCCTCATTCCAGACTCACTGGAAAAAAACACATTGGAACTAGAGTCCAGACTCTTGGAAACATTGACAAGAAAAAATACTTTTGATTCGATCGGATTTTTGCTTGAATCAAAACGAAATCCGCTTAAATTAAGAGGCTTGGTTCTTGATTTAAGCTAGATTCTGATTGAATCAAGAGAACTTTTCTTATCGATGTTTTTAAGAGTCTGGACACTAGATCCAATGTGTTTTTTTTCCAGTGCTCTTAAAACATTTTCCGACCTACGAATATTATGCACATTTTGAGATTCCAATGCAGATGCATCTAGTGACGATATGTGTAACTCTCCACGGGAAAAATAAGTTGAGTCTTGTTTCGTTTTTGCCGTCATGAAAGAGTGCAACTACATTCTAATGTTGTCTATTTACCCCTTGCAAACTGCGATTTTAGCTTGGTATCTCGAAGTGAGTATTTCCCACACTAAAAAAAAAATCTCTTGTATCCCCGAGTCAAGACTCTCAAAACATTTTCCGACCTGCGAATATTGTGCACATTTTGCGATTCGTATGCCGATGCATTTAGTTACGATATGTGTAACTGTCTACGGGATAAATAAGTTGAGTCTAGTTTCGTTTTTGCCGTCATGAAAGAGTGTACGTTTTAATGTTGTATATTTACCCCTCACAAATCGCGATTTTACGAGGTGGAGCTTGGTATTTCGAAGTGAATATTTCCCACACTAAAAAAAAATCTCTTGGGTCCCAGAGTCCAGACTCTTGAAACATTTCCGACCTGCGAATATAATGCACATTTTGTGATTCGAATGCCGATGCATCTAGTTACGATTTGTGTAACTGTCTACGGGATTGATAAGTTGATTCTTGTCTCGTTTTTGCCGTCATGATAGAGTGTACATTTTAATGTTGTCTATTTACCTCTCGCAAATTGCGATTTTAGCTTGGCGTCTCGAAGTGAATATTTTCCACACTAAAAAAAAAATCTCTTGGATCCCTGAGTCCAGACTCTAAAAGCATTTTCCGACCCGCGAATATTATGCACATTTTGCGATTCGAATGCAGATGCATCTACTTACGATATGTGTAAAACAAACTTTAGTGTCATTTCGCCTCCCCCCCCCCCAAAGATTCCTACTACATTACAATGCAGTCGTTCGCCCCACGAAGGAACGTAACTAGGTTTGAATGTTGCCAAATTCCTCCTCACAAATTGCATTGTCACAAGGATCGTCTTTGGCATTGATAGCGCCTGCAAAACTGTCAAAATACTTCAAGCATCACGCCGAACGTAACACGCCCATATGCATGAAAGCTGATTTCATGGCGCTCTCGGGCGCTTTGCGACGCGTAACCACTTCTTACACCCTCCCTGTTCATTCCTTCAGGGAGTTGGCACGCCCTTATTTATTTGTAACCCTCTGCCGTCACCCTTTCACTGGACGTCCCTTTCGTCTCTTCCCTATCACGCACCCTCTTTGACACCCTATCTCCCGTCATCGCGGTATCATGCCCGTAACAGATACGCCGCTTGGTTATGCCATTAAATACATACTCCCACGACATATTCCACGATTGCCAACTATATTTCGACTATTGTCTAATATGAACATCCATAATTTTACCTCTCCAGAGTTTAAAATGTTGGGTGATTCCCATTTCGGCAAATTTTACCCATTTCGGCAAAAAAGAAAGTAGACGTTTCGGTAAAATTATTTCAGCACATCGAGGGGGAAAACGAACCGATTCGGCAAAAGAGTCTTCATGTTCAATAATATAAAATTATTGTGGTTAGCTGGTTATCGGTTTACCTTGTACTTCTTTGTTAAGTTTCATTGGTATGAATCTTCAGACTAAGGGATCATAACTTTGGATGTAACGGCAAGCCTGAACATAATCAAAGATCTTACAGTCAATGCTAACAAGATTACTGAAAAATACTAACTCGTAAGGATGATGATGACGGAAATGAGGAAAGCTTCCATGCAAGAAAATCCAGGAATCAATGAAGATATCTTTTTTACCCCTATATTGGGCCCCGGATTGTCATTTTTAGGCGGTCTTCGGGACATTCCACGGCTTTTATTTGGGCTTATTTTGGCTGTTCAATTTTTTGACGGGTAGTTTTAACGGTTTTTCTCCTAAATTTTCAGTTGCTTTGCGTTTTAACGTGGCTCTAATTTTTTGCCGCTGAATTTCATTTTTTTTGTCTTCGTGGTTGTGGCTGTCTTCCTTCGCCGATACAAGTTTTTCCATCTTGGCGTCCGTCATAAAACCTGCTGAACATGAATCGATAATGCAGCGCCAAGGAATCAGCCCACTTTTCAGTTGCCTGCCTTTTTTAAGTGTATTATTTTCAAAGGAAATCATTGTGTTACCTCGGTTGCTTTTTATAAGCTCGAACTCCATACTGCACTCTCTGCACAGTCGTTAAAATGTCAAAAGAAGCACGAAACGTCACAGTAGTTATCAAGGTGGCCAGACACTTTACCCAATTTTGTTTGGTCCAACAATTGTTTGTTCCGTTGCTGAAATTTGTCCAATAAAATTTTGGACCAATAGTTTTTTAACCAATAGTTAACTTAGTCCACGTTAGTTTTTGGTCCAAGGTAATATTTATTTTGTGGGAAAAATTAAATTCATACTTTTACATGCTGTCTGTTCATGATGTGGCTAATCATCGCCGCCTTCCGAGTCTGTCCGAGTCTCATCCGCCCTTTGCTTGAGATTGTTAGCAATCGCCCGCAAGTAAGTACGGACATTGTTTTGCTGCTTGTATTCTTCGTAATTTCCAACCATCGTCTCAACGCGTCTTTGGTTTCGAACATACGTTGAATTTATCGGGTCTCTAAGATGTCCATGCCCTCCTAGTAGTTGTGTGACAGCTGCTTCTGTATCTTGTTCTTTCTGCAGCTCGCCAATAAACCGCCAAATGTTTAAGTGATGTGCGACAACTATTCTTTGGAAGCGAGAATGGAATGATTCAACTTTGTTATTCGTTCGCGCTTGTCTATTTAACACAGATTGATACACATTCCAGGTAGGCGGTGGATATCTCGGAGGAGTTGCTCGTCTTCGACCTCTCGCGGGGCGACCTCGAAGATAAGTTTCTTCGAAATATTCCGCCAAGTCCAATACTCGCTCATCTTCGAAATCAGCTTCCAGCATGTCATATGTTTCCATCAGATCTTCCAGAGGAATGAAAGGAAGAGCCATAAGATATCTCACTTGATTACGTATAGTTGGGTCCTCTAGGTCGAAGAAGGGTATTCTGAGACCTCGGTTCACTGCGTTCTTAAAAATGTTCTGAGTAAAATGAAAGAGGCATCCACGAATTGATATTCCATCAAATGATCCACGAAGTGCATTCAGATTCGCTAATTCGAAGTCGCTCATGGAAATTTGGGGATTTAGTGTTAATTGAAAATCTTCGGCAAGGAGCCGTAGTTGTCGGTAAACTCTGTAAGTTGCTTCATCTTTTTGCTGTGTAAGACAGAATACAACAGGGAAAACAAAGCTCATGAAAATGGCATGAACAGTAAATAATTGCGCAAATTGATTCGGAGTTGTTTTTAAGGGGCCATCGGTGAAAATGGTTGGACTGTTACACAACATATTAAGGTTCCTTTCAGTGGAAAAAATAAGTATCCGTCGAGGCTGGTTCCTACCAGAATCATGAAGCAAGAATGGTCCCCCTCCGAGAGTTCGTGTGTAGGAGTTTTCCACACGAATTTCTTGCAAAGTTGCAGGTACAGGAGGCCGATGTGTATTCTGGACCCGATTAAGTGTTCTCCGCAAAGTATTTCTTTCCAGCAACGTCATTAAAACCTCTTCATTATTTACCTTTCCAGCTTCACTACGCACTATGTTTAAGGGAGGCTCAGTTGGGTTTTCTGCTGCTCGTCTTTTCATGCGATCTACTACTTTCCTTCTTGCAATTTCAACGTGATCTGGAGGATGCAAATGATTAGTGCGACCATTTTTATAAACTACTAGTTCTTCCCTCTCACCTGGTGTATTTGTGACGCAGCGCGTGTTACAACTATCTTTCAAGTGACACCGCCACACTGTTAAAAATTATTCTGGCCTGAGTGGCCTGAGTGAAATATTATGGAGCTATCCTGCCTGAAGCATCGAGTGACAAAATTTTGCGGTGAGTTAGATAACTCGCTCTGGCATGGGAAGCTCCTTGTAGCATGTGTCACTCCAGGAAATACAGATATTGGCTCGGGAGAGATACTTTCCACTCAGATTTAAGATACTTAAGAAGAAACAGAGCTATAATTTTTTGCGCATCATCAACGCGCATTGACCGTTACAATCTTATTCTGGAATTCACGACTGAGACGGCGTCAGTCTCCAGCCAGTGGCTTTTGCGTGAACAGTGATTTGTTGCGACTCGTGAAGGTGTACAGCAAATTAAATTTTGTTTGAAGGCTTTCCAGGATAATACCCCATGGATCCCATACCAAAGTGTTCGCTGAGTTCCTAACACGACGGAAAATAAAAATTCGTCCTAGTAGAATAGCCTACCTCCAGGAATTTTGAAAACGCCGGTAAGGGCAGCAGTTTTATTAAACTAGGTTCAAGAGAAAAAATACATATTTCGTACCATTATACTGCAAAATTGTATCTCTTTCTCTTTTATCGTTTCATTCCTTATCGCTTGTTGATTTGCATGTGCATGGTAGTTTATTTAGATTATTCCCTATTTAAAACCATCATGTTGCTCCCGTTAATGTATTATTTGCTTTTAGTTGTACTTTCTTGTCAAGTATCTGTAGTTTCCTTGGTGAAGGTTCGTTATGCGTCTGGAGATGGCACTGTATGCCGAAAAAACCTCAGGTGTATTGAATAAAATTTTGCAGTATAATTCTACGAAATTGCGATTTATTCTTTTTAGCTCGTATGATACTTTTGGGCATCAAAGCCTGATTATGTGGGTATGGCGTGGCGTCCAGTAAAGTTAGAATTCTGTTATCGTGTATATTTATTTTTTAAGCTTACACTGACTTTATGTTCACAAAATACTTAATATCTATAAAACTTTTCTTTGTCGTAAAGCGTTTTCGAAATTACTGGAGACAGCTGTTCAGCTATGACAAATATTGATTTTCCGTCGCGTGTTTGCAACTCAAAAAACACTTTGGCTCCGAATTTGTGGGATATTGGCCCGAAAGTTCTTCAAACATGATTTGATTTGCAGTACAACTTCACATCTTTCCAAAAAAAAAAGAACATACATAGCAGTTACAGGTGGAAGGGAAAGGCAGAAGAGGGAGGGAGGAGAGGGAGGGGACGAGAGGGGGGAAACGGATCGGGGTATGAGACGGATGCCAGGGGTAAGGGGAGGGCAGTCGCCAGCGACGCAGCCCGTCCTTATGCCTGAGTTACTTTAGCTCAGCATTTCCATACTTACGTCGGAGATTTTCAACTCCGTGGAAATTGGCCCTGAGCGATGAGTGACTTCCGAGCGACTTCCTTATATAGGTCGTGCTCTGAGCTAATTTTTTTTAACAGTGCAGTACGTTCGGGTTCCTGATTTATTTTTTGAGTGGACGGTATAAATAAAGCCATCCAAAACCAGCGCTTTCTTTTTCTTGGACGTGTTGATCAGTTCGCCGGGCATTTCAGAAAATTTAATTTTAAATTATAATTTTATTTAAAAAAATTTTAAGCTTCTAAAAAAGTCGCGAAAGTTTTGAAGTAAAAATTGGATTTCAAATGTAGACTGTAATTAAAAATTTTGGAGTTTGTCTTTGACTCATTTTTTACAGGTTATAATATTTTCTCGTCCTCAGCTGTCAAATTTTGCAATTGAAAAGTTTCCTTAGCAACGTCCGACAAGTCAGCTGTTACACGAGGAATGTATATAATGAATAATATTGTGGCTTACATAGAACTTGGATTAAAAAAGGGTGGGTTAAATTTTTAATTGGATAATAAAATTTGGCCAAACTATACCTTGGATAAAATTTGTTGGCCCAATTAGGTATTGGGTAAAAGAAATTGGGTAAAGTGTCTAGCCACGGTTATTAATCGTATGAGCGAATCACAGTTGTTAAAATGTTAAAAGAACCACGAAATATCACAGTAGTTATTAATCGTATGAACGAATCACAGTCGTTAAAATGTAAAAAAAAACACGAAATATCACAGTAGTTATCATTTTCGAAAATATTCATGATTTCCACACAAGGTTAGAAGAAAAACCAGCGAAAATTTCAGTCGGAAATGCCCAAAATTTTTTTGGTAGGAATGCAACTTGCGATCGAATTTACGTCACAAAAGCGTCACAGGGGGAGGGGGGGGTTATAAATGCTGAAAAAGTGCGCCACGTAACTTTGGGAGGCTCCTTGAATGTTCATTCTGACAGTGCGTCATTTCCCGGACGAAGAGATGTAACTTAACTCCAGGGTCGCGAAATGGATTCAACAATTCAATTAGTACAAATAAAGCACCTGTGTAATTCTTTTCCAAAATGTTTATGATTTTCACACAAGATCAGAAGAAAAACCACACTGGAAAAAAAACACATTGGATCTAGAGTCCAGACTCTTGGAAACATTGACAAGAAAAAGGACTCTTGATTCAATCTGGTTTAAGCTTGAATCAAAAGAAAATCTGCTCAAATTAAGAGGCTTGGTTCCTGATTTGGACGTATTTCTATCAAACGGAACTAAGCGCCAATTCGAGTTCCTTTTAAGGACTTTAGAATCCCGGATAGCGCGTTCTGTCAAACGGATCTAAGCGCCATGGAAAAGCATTGCGAGTATAGGACGGAATAAGCCGGACGCCCGCTTCTGCCGCCAATCCAAGCCCCCCTCTACCTTCCTCACCCTATGGCGCTTAGGTCCGTTTGATAGAAATACGTCCATTTAAGCTTACATCTGATTGTATCAAGAGTATTTTTTCTTGTCGATGTTTTTAAGAGTCTGCACTCTGGATCCAATGTGTGTTTTTTCCAGTGCAGTGAAAATTTCAGTTGGAAGTGCCTAAGGTTTTTTTGGTAGGATTGCAATTCGCGATCGAAATTGGCAACATTAAAATGTAGGTACGTCCTTTCGGGGGGGGGGGGGGGCGATGAGGTGTGAGAACTATTCAAAGAGAAAGACGGGATCCTAGCAACATCTCGATGATCTTTGGTTCCTTCTCGCAAATGGCAATCGAGATAACCTTGTCAACTGACCCGCAAGATTGAGCGAGCGGCATCATTGCGAAGCACAAAGCTCGTTTTTCTCCCGTTCCAGCCGAGATTTTTCCGTGCGGCGCGGTACGGCGGCGGCCGGTGGTGCTGAACTTAACTGAGACGGCAGAAATCCGTCGTAGATTAATCATGCGCGCGGGACTTTGAATAATCTGAGTTAAATAATTGCCGCCGGGCGTTGTAATAATGATCGCCGTACTAATTACAGAAGCCGCCGACGCCTGCCCCGCCAAAGCTCCGCAGGTGCGACCTATCGAAGTCTCAAGTCGATTCCTTCTTCGGAGTCTTGAGTAACCGCAAATACATCGATAAACCGATTCAGCGCACGACTGTACGGAGAATATTGCCTGTTGGTCGAAATGATCGAAGTCGCAAATCGATTCTGCCCTTGTAGACTGGAAAAAAACGCATTGGATCTGGAGTCCAGACCCGTTAAAAACATCGACAAGAAAAAGTACTCTTGATTCAATCAGATTTAAGCTTAGTTCAAGAACCAAGCCTCTTAATTTGAGCGGATTTCCTTTTGATTCAAGCAAACATCTGATTGAATCAAGAGACCTTTTTCTTGTCAATGTTTTCAAGAGTCTGTACTCTAGATCCTAAGTGTTTTTTTCCAGCGATGGCCGTTTTTGGGTCCCCGCTGAATTTCATCATCCCTAAGATGTTTCGCTCACCAGGGGTCTCTATTGTGCGGAACGGAATGCATCAAGATCTGGTCATTTTCGGGCGTAATCAAAATGCTTTACAGCTGAAGCTTATATCTCAGAGACTTAAACGCACGGTTACAAAATTAACGCAACTTCTACGTATGTTTCTTGTCAATGTTTTCAAGAGTCTGGACTCTAGATCCAATATGTTTTTTGAGCTCGCCCACTCGGGAGAGCTCTTTGCGATCGATTTCTTTTAGCATTGGTAGTGTCCGTGGCGACGAATGGATGGTTCTCGTTGCCGTCGGAGGAACGGCCAAAATCCCATTGATTTCAAGGTCTAAAAGTTGAATTTTCGCGGGTTACAGTTTTCCTCCGTCGAACATTTCCGTTCCCTCATTCAACTGAGGATTAATTGTTCCTCGTTTGCTACACTAGAGAGCA